AGAGGTATGCATTGGAAGAGATCTAACAAAAGTATGTCATAACCAAAGTGTAAGCATAAAGGCTAAAGTATAAGATGAATGGAGAAATTAACAGGTCTGAATGTTTGCATTGGAGAAATCTGAGTTTTTTTCCCTCTCTGGAGAAAAAAAGTCCAAGATCTATTCAATCTCTAAGACTAGTGATTCCCAAGTGTTATGTCAAAAGTTATATAAAACTCAAGACAAAAATTAAAATTTATTTCATTTTAAAACCTGTCAAGTTAGTACTTATTGGTAACTGCATGAAAAGATTATAAAGAGAAATAGTCAAATTCTACATACTTGTGAAATTCATTATGTATTAGGTGCCTGTCTTATCCCAGACCCAGTGCCAAGCATCTTTATAAGAATCTCTTTCTAATCTTTAGGGCAGTCACATTAGAATAATTTTAGGGATAATAATAATTTGTATTTTACAGATAATAATTACGGCTCACATGTATTAAGCTTACACTATACCATTTTAAAATCTTTACATGTAGGAACACAGTTCTGGCACAGAGAAGTTAGGTAATTTTTCCAAAGTATCAGAGAGAAAACAAGGATGAAAAAGTGAAACTCAGCAAGGTTAAGCAACTTGCTCCATTCAAGGCCACGAGGCTGTCAACCATGGAACTAGCTTTCTAATTCAAGGCTGTCTTCTCTCCTTAGGCCTATGATCCTCCCAATAGATGCCTGCGTAGAACCACCTGAGCTTGATAAGCAGGCGGGCTTAACACCTGAAGGCTGGCAGTAGAGAGTGGTATTGCCTAGAGCAACCAGAAGAGCACAGGTCCCATCTCAAGGAGCAGAGTTTTCCATCCTTTGAGAGATCTTGATATAAATTCTCTGTATTTTTAAATATTGCCCCAATGTTTGCTAAAAAGGCATTACAAGGGCCAAACAAAACATGTGCACGGACTATCAGTTTGCAACTTCTCTTTACTTGTTAAGAATCTGAAGTCAAATGATGGGCTGTCTCCTGTCCAAAATGTCAGAAATGAGAGCTATTAAATCAGGCTTACCCAGAAGTCCCATCTACTTTCAACAAAGATTCATCCTGAATTTGCCCTAAATTCAAACTTTTACCTCTGGTAACTCCATTGAAGACCCCTCCTCACTCTTGATTTGCAGCAAAATACCTACTCAAGTTACAGAAACTGCATATAAAAATTTGCATTTTTAAGATTCTTTCAAATGTCTTTCAATCCCTTTTTGTAAAAATTACCACACATGAATACAACAAAATAAAGCACTCCCCCTGTCCTAGCCTGTCAACTGCTAAAACTAAATTCATTCTGGAGAAAATGCTGCTGTGACGACTGCCTTTGAAGGATCCCCACACTGCAATCCAGCTTCAAGAATTCTGCTCAGGCCACTGCAGCCCATTTCCTGGTGTCTTTCTTTAATCAGCTGGGAGAGACTTGAGGAAATGAGTCAAAATCCTACAGGCAACTTTTAGCGGCGGTCAACAACAGCAGCAAAATCCATCACCACAACAACATCTGTACATAAATGCGCTCTAAGGGAAGCTCACAGAATACTTGGCACATTCCTGATGGGAATTTGTTTGGGGAGATAAAAAGCTATGAGTGGTAACCTGCCCTTATAGCTCGTCGTTCTCACCAAGGGTAAATGGCCCAATGGTATTACCCATGATTGGGAGTTTTCTCTTTCACAGGTATGCCACGAGTACATAATGCTAGCTAAAACAATTTTTATTTTTCGGAGTGGGGGATGGAAAAAAATTTTCAACTGACTTACATCATCCTTTTAGAGATGGCTTATCTTCATTTCTGAGGGACTAACTATAATGGTACAGCTAACACCTAAAGTCTTCATACTCAGGGTCACCTGCCTACATACCTCCAGGGAGGCTATAATTTAATGACTCTCACTTCAGTGACTACTTCCTTCAGACTGAAAACACTCTAACTCAGACATCATTAGACAGGCAATTCTAAGTCTTTTTTGCAAAAATTGGGATGGTAATGCCCTTGGCCATCCTATATTCCCAGAACCTTCAACAATGCCTGGTATATAGTAGGTACTCATTAAACAGTTTCAAATGAATCTCACTTTATAACTGATTCTGGTAAGTCATGTGAATAGATATGCATATGGGACCAACCTCAGTCTTCACTGCTGATTATTCTGGGAACTGATTTATCCTCAGCTAGCTCCACCAGCTGTAAAATGGTAGGGATGGTGACAGTACTGCCTCAGGGGCTTGTTGAGAGAACTGGAAATGTCAGGTAAGGGTCCCAGCACAGGGCTGGGTACACGGTTTCCAATTAAAGAGCAACAACTATGTATAATACACACGTAATGTGAAATTTCAGGCACCAGAGAAAACGTGTTGCAAGGGCACAGCATACATGATTTATAAAGTCATAAGGATAAATGTGTGGATGAGTGAGAAAGACCAGAATGCAGATAAATGACTTCTCCGGAATCCCTTTACAAGACCATCATATTATTTCCAGCAGGATAATAAACCAGAATATGTCCAGCTGCTGGGGATGACTCTAGCCTCACACCTGCAGGAACAAGGGGAAGGTGATTCATTGCTCCCTGCAGATTCATCCAGCTGGGCACAGGAATTGTAAATAAATATGGGGGGGGTCCTTCAGAATTGGCACCTCCTAGCCCTCAACATGAAACTGTAGGTAAACACATGTGGACTGAGGAGAGGACGGCACAAGCCATATGTCCCTGCTTTAACCAGGGGTAGATCAATAGGATACCATCAGTGCTGTG